GGGGGGGAGAGAGAGAGAGAGAGAGTTTTTAAGGGGGTTGTAGAAATGGGAGGGGTTTGGGGGTTTGCAAGGTGGGGGTATGTTATGTGTTCTGCATATGTGTATGTGAAAGGAGGGAGAGACGAGAGGTGATGGAATAGATATGAGTGAATGTTACATTGTACTATGAAATTTTTTAAAATTCTCAATTTATACTTTGAACAATTAAAATTCTCAAATTGCACTTTCAACGACTGTTTGATAACATTTTTTAAAGAGTAATGCTATTTGGACATAAAATTTAACTTAATTTATTGTTTTAATAATGTAATTTTATTAGAACAATTAGATTAACACCACTATCACACATCACCACTACCACAAACCCTTCACTAACCACTTTCACCATAACCACCCATGACTCCATGGCCACTATCATCACTACCATCCACCATCGTCACTGCCATAACAACTACCATCAACCACCCACCACCACCCTTTTCCTTGGCCAGTACCAACACATGCACAAGCACTAGCCATCGTCGCCACCACTCTCTATTAGCACTAACACTCGTTGTTGTCGCCACCCTTCATTGTCGCCACCAACACCCCCGCCCTTCACCACCACCTCTCATCACTATCCTCCACCACTCATTGTCGCCACCACCATCGTTACACTAGCACCACTCACTACATCACTGTCATCCTGACCCTCCACCACCACCACCACCACCAACCACCTCTCATAGTATCCACCTGGTGGAACGGAAATCCCAAGAGCCGTTGATAGCGCGTGTGTATCGAATATCAAAAATTTTCTTTTAAAATCCTATAAGGTGGAATTAGGGTTTATCTTCGAGATCCCTCAAGATTGATCTCGTCTCAGCACAAACGCAGAACCGAACAACGAGCAACTAAAGATAAGCTCAACAAATCTCACGGCCTTCTATCGTATATCCCCCAACGTCAAAATTCGGATGTAGTGTGGGCTGCCAAAACCTTCGAATTCTTGTTCTCCCTTTCAACCTCTCTAAAAAAATGTGAGTAAAGAATAGATGTTGAATTAATGAGCCAAGATGTCTATATATAGGCTACGACAGAAATCCTAAAGAGAAATAAGGATTGGACTTCCAGTAGGCTTAGAATTCTTATGTTCAACTCAGAATAAATATCATACAACTCATTAATAATAAATCAGTCCACTAAAAACTTATTATTGATCTCCTAAGTCTTATCTCAAAATTATATTCGAGTTCCTTATTATTATATGCTTAATTATCTCCCAACATTTAAGATTACATATGTCCATCAATTAAACAAATTACTGACAATTATATTTAATTAACTTCTTTTATTCCTTGAGACCTTACCACTCAACTTATTTTTCATGTCGGATAATTAAATTCACCTCTAGGGTTTGACTTGAACAAAACTTATGAGTTTCCTCAAGAAGACATCATCAACCCATTTAAATATTAGAATGTGGTTTCCTTTACTAATTAATTTCCTCCATACAATAACATCATCTCTCAATTCACCGAGTTTATTGTCTCAATATGAATCTCACCATTTGATAAATTAAAGTGACAAACATTATATGCACGTAATAATTAAATATTTTGAGATTAAGAGCATAAGTAATCATAATAATCATGAAATATTTATTATTTTATTGAGTCAGTAAAAGATAATAACCTTAATATGGATCTGTTCAATACACAAAGTGTAGTTGTGCAATAATTCGAGATATCAAACAGTTTCCTACAGTTAAAACAAACTATATTAGAATATTATACTATAATCATATTGATGGCGGGTCCAATTTCATCTAGAGTTGTGAACATATACTCATATTATACAATGATCCAATAATCTGATCTTCTGTGTATAAAGCCGAACTTTATATACCAAATTATCTATAATGTAAAATATAAGACACATGTACATGTCATATATTAAATATAATGCAAATATTTTGTCCATATAGATTTTCAATAAAATGAAAAGAATAAACTTTTATTAATTAATAAAATAAGTTTCACTACAAAAAACAATTTTTTTATATACTACTCTATCACTACCACCCTTTACCACTCGTTGGCTTAATTACCACTTGCCACCACCACCCATCATCATCAGCACAACTCATTACTTCTTGCCACCACTACTACTGTCATGCACTATCACCTCGAGGCAAAAAGAATTGGAAATGAAAATATAAATTTAAAAAAAGCAAAAATAAAAATAGATATCAAGCAGGTTTTCGGTTCCCAATTTTGTTATTTTGAAAACAAAAATAGATGTCAATCATATGTTTTTGTTTTTAGTTTTCTAAAAATGCATAAATAATTTTAAGTTTTCATTTTTCAAACTAAAAACTGAAAGCAACAAACTAATTATATAAAAATATAGCAATGTGGGCTATTTTGATTAAATTAAGTATTAAATTTTCTTGTAAAATATTTAAAATTGAATAGTATAGAAATAATTCACTGTATAAAAAGAAAAATATAAAGACAACAACGCACAAAAAATTATCATACAAAACACAAATCTGTTGTTTTTGGACTACGTTGCTATCTTTTTGTCCGACTGTACAATCTAATAATTTTAATCTTTTATGAGATAAATTAAAAAATTAAAGATCTTTTAGAGTGTTTTGTGTAATTCACCTAGTAGATATTTAGTTCAATATACATCGAACAGCCTCCCAAAAAGAGAAAAAAATCTCATAAATACCCCTTTAAACTCTGACTTGTATTCTAAATTATCCATTGAACGCTTAATTATCTCAATTTACTCATTAAACTATGCAATTAAATTATATTGACACCTTCTGTTAATTTTACAGGTTGAATGACACGGATTTAAACATGCGAGATTCATATGAGATGTGTCGTTTAACATCTAAAATTAAAGAAATGTATTAATTGAAATTAATTACACATGAGTGATTTGGGACACATAAAAATTTAAGAGATAATTTAAAATTCAACGGAGATTAATAGAGACGCCAATTAGAAAAAAAAAGGACATAATTTTTTTTAATGGTAAACTTAAATTAATATTAAACAAAATAATAAAAAAATATTTAATTTAAATGAGTATATAACGCATAACCAAAATACTTACATAGTCGATTTTAAATGATTAGGACATAAGATATGATTTGGTTTGGTCCGATTTAGATAATTTAAAAGGGTTAATTTCATTGGAGGTCCTAAAGTACCTAGTTTATCTTATTTTGGTCAATAGCAAACACATTTTTGTCAAGAATTACCCAAACTTTGTTTATGGGTTATCAAAATTATTTTTTTTCTATATTTAATTATCACGTGATAAATTTATGATAAAAAAGTAATTAATAATCTAAATATTGTCTGCTTGAATAATCATATAAAAATATATTCAATAGAATCAAAGTGATGTAATTAAAATATTAAAAAATAAAATAAGATAAATCTCATACTTTGGGATGTTCCAGACAATCAACCCAATTTAAAAAATAGATCATAGTTTAAGAGTTAATATGAAATTTACGAAAAAAAAAGAAGAATATTATGTTATTCGTATCGTAGTGTGAGTTTGACTATATGTTCCTACTTGCTTTAAGCTTTTGTGTCTCAAAATTCCCGAAGTCTAAAAGCAAAACAAGAAGAAGAAGGAAACTTTTTTTCCTACGGTCTTGTTAGATCGGAATTTTTGGGCATCTGAGCTGGAGTATTGGGATTTTCTTTTCTCTGTTTTTAATTTTTGATGGGTTCAACAAAATTTCTTTCTGGGTCTGCTAAATTGTGTGATTTTGGATTGATTTAGGTGGATAAAGAGGATGGCGATGGACGCAGGCGATTGGAGGATTCAGCTGGAACTAGATACTCGACAGAGGATTGTTAACAATATGTAATTTTGCTTGCCTATTACTGAGTTTTATAATCACCACTCATGTCCCTTTTTCTCTTGCGGTAATTTGATAAGGTATCGAAAATTATTGCTTTTTAACGTCAAATTTTTAATTTTACCTTTAAAAGATGTAAGTTTACGAATGAAAACTGTAATTATTAACATTTTAAGATCCACTGGTCCTTTTTTAGTTATGATTTATACATCAAAAGTTATAATTTGACCTTAAAAACTTGTAAATTTCGATAAGGTTATTTTAGCTAGCACATAGATGATTAACAAGGCTTTGGATCCTCTGATGTTAAAAAATTAGTAGCAGTGGTGGCGTTGATCAAAACGGTGTTATTTTGATTCAAAACGGCTTGTTAAATAGAATGACTCCGGTTTGATCAACAATAATACCTCTGCTGTTAAAAAATAACAGTAGAGGAGCTGGACCCTGATTAACAATACCGTTATATCAGATGTAAGTCTGGTATTTACCCATATCTAAGCTAATCGTGGTTAATATTTGAGCTAGGACAGTGATATAGTCCTAAGTTTTTGTTGCAGAATGGAAAATGATAATTGTGCCAGACTTACAATGCAGAAATAAAAAGTATTGAAGTTAATGATGGTATGGAATGCATAAGAAAATATGGTGCAATTTTCATATGCTATGCAGATAAACTTACGGGTACATCAATAATTGTGTTCTATTTTGTCCTAAGTTGTGTAAGAATGGAGGACCATGAGGATAGAGAGACATGATAATTGATGTTGCTTTGGACTACAATTGGAGATTGATGCTACTTGTTCTACAAACAATAATGTTAAGTGTATTTTCTAAAACATGCGCTGAGTTTTCTCGCCCCGTACTGATTACTTATTTTCAATTCTGATCTGATTAAGGAAATAACTGGTTTATCTCCCAATAGATGCACTGTGCAAAAATCAAAGCATCTAGACAAGATTCATGGTCATCAAATATATTCATGAGAGAATTAATGAGTCCAGGATAAATCTCTGGCAAGAATTCCTTACCCGGAAAAAAAAGAAGAAAAAGAAAACACACTGGAGCAAACACTTGAATGCAATAATGTGATTCCTTGGGAATTTTGGGATTGTTCCTTAACGTAATGGGTGGATCTCATATTACCACTTAGAATGCAATATTGTGATTCCTCTCTGTTGTATTGCATTGTTTCTTGTTGTTGGTTTATACAAATATGTTAGGTTGGGAATTTTGGGATTGTTCCTTAACATAATGGGTGGATCTCATATTACCACTTAGAATGCAATATTGTGATTCCTCTCTGTTATTTAGCATTGTCTCTTGTTGTTGGTTTATACAAATATGTTAGGTTGGAAATTTTGGGATTGTTCCTTAACGTAATGGGTGAATCTCATATTACCACTTAGAATGCAATATTGTGATTCCTCTCTGTTGTATTGCATTGTCTCTTGTTGTTAGTTTATACAAATATTTTAGGTTGGGAATTTTGGGATTGTTCCTTAGCATAATGGGTGGATCTCATATTACCACTTACCTATTGGCTAGAAATATGTCATGTTTATGGAGGATACTAAACATCTACGGATTTCTGATTTTAGTCCTGTCTTCTTGTTGGGTTAATTCAAGGTTTTACATTTGGGAAGAAATGCCTTTTGCTTACATGAAGTGAGTGGTGGAAGAAATGCCGATTGGTTTGCATAGTGCATGAGTGTTTGATCAGTATATTTGATGAGATCACGAGGTTAGAACTGACACAAACACAAGGGGTTTTGTGTATCTGACAAGCTAAAATTATAGTTCGGGGAAAAAATAATGAAGAGGAGAGACATGGTCAACATGTGTGTTGATAAGGTGAGTCTAATGCTCTAGTGCTTGAGGAAAGGAAGTTAGGAGAGTTATTTTGAAGATATTGTTGGAAAAGGTGTCAATAAAAAATTGTTGCTCAAGAGGTTGGACTTTCACTTGTCTAGTGATACCTTTCAAATGCTTCCACATACCACCTACATAGGAGGAAGTGTTAGCAGCAATAAAAGACTTAGTGGAGAAAGAGTTGCTTTATTCTAGGATAGGTTGAATACCTTAGGATTTTTCTCAAATTCAGATGGAAGGGGTTAAAGAAACTTGCTCAAAGTTGTGATTTTGAGAAATGCTTGAGTTCTGATTCTGACTATTGTTCCTTGATTTCTGTGAAAAAGAGGGGCTATTTACACTAGTGGATTAAATTGGTTATTCAATGGTGGTCTCAAGACACCAGACTGCTTTTTTATTGGGTAAGAAAAATATTGGATATTGTTCTGATTGCGAAAAATGGTGTGGATTCTATATTGTGCAGTGGATATCTGGAGGGAATTTGGAATCTTGATATGGACATTCCGTTTGACCATGGAGGTTGTGGTTTTTCTTTTATACTTGCACTATGTCTACGTCTGTTGTAGTTTTATTCAACGACACTTCTTACGAGCTTCTCTTTTCTTACTTTCTTAGGGGGCAACTCATATTTACTGCCTTTGATTTTGGTTTATTTATTCTTTATTTTGTATCCTGTGTGACCATGATTTTGAAGTAATTTGTTTGGTATGTTCTTATTTAACAGGCTTGCATGCTCTCTGTAAATATCTTCTTCACGCCTGCATAGTCAATAATCAATTGAAATGTATTATTTCACATCTAGAATGGAGATCCTGAAGAGGCCTCTTCCGTTCTCTGGACAAGAGGGACTACAAGAACTTAAGAAAATTGCAGTAAGGTTTGAGGAAAAGATTTATACTGCTGCCACAAGCCAGGTTTGCATTTACACTGGTACTTGATCATTGGTGGTATTTGCCTTTAATTTCAGTATTGAAACATGGTTGGCTTCCTTATTCGTGAATTTGTCGTGAGATATAAATGGCACATAATTTTTATTGTAGTCGGATTATCTGAGAAAAATATCTCTTAAGATGCTGACAATGGAGCCAAAACCCCAAAACCCCATGGGCAATTCCCTGCAGTCCAACTATGCCAGTAATTGTGAAATTACCGCAGTTCCAGGTAACAGGATAAAAGTGCTTCATGTAATAGCAATATGTTTACATAGTGCTGACAGAATCCATTTTCCATCTCTGTATCTAATCCTAGTATGCGTTCCCCTGTACTTAAAATAGTTTATTTCAGCAAATTAGACATTGTGCATGTCTCGATGTCATATTCACTAGCTTTTGTGAACCTTAATTAGCTATTTCTGTTTTGCTTCTCTTTCTCTGATATTCAAGGGACAGAGCAAATGTGATAGCTTTAATTTTGCTAGCTATATTGTATTTTAGCACTTGACGTAGACGGACTTATATAGCCAACCGCAAATGATTGGGACATAAGGCTTGGTTGGTTTTTTTTTTTTTTTTGATGAACAAGAGCCAAACTACAACACAGGCTTGGTTGGTTTAGTTTGGTTAGGTTTGGTTTGGTTTATTGTGTTTTAGCAGTGATCGGTGAACTTTCAAAACAAAAGGCACAAAAAATAAAAAAAAAGATGGCAGATATGGCCTATATCTTTCTAGTGAGTAATCTGCCTTTTACTACTTAGTGAACACCTAATTTGCATCCAACTGTTTTTCTCCATCAGGTCATTTGGCTAATTCCCAATTATTCTCTTCTGAAGAGATTTTCTTCAATCGTTGCTTCCTTCCATTTTGAACTACTAGTAGCATCATGCTAACTTCGAGGATCGAGAAACACAATGCCCAACAAGATGGTTAGAGATTATGAGAAAACACAAAATTAGAGAGTGGTGGAATGGCGATGAGTGCCTTGATAGATTTCGAAAATATTTTTGGAACAAAATAGCAACAAAGACAAACTTCGAAAATTTGTTGGTGAAACTCCTAAACATGGGTTGAAACACATTGAAACATCTCCTAATACCTCGAAACTCTTCAAAACCTAGGAGCTTTGATATTTATCCACTGTTTTGTTTCGTTGCGGCTGTTTCAAAACGAAATTTTAATCCTTATTTAAAACTCGAGTGAAGGGACTCTTGTAAACTTCCTAGTTCTGGCATTTATAGGCGCATACTGCCTAAGATGGTGTATGTCTCTTTGCTTGTTTTTTATATATTTTTTCCCCTTGCCCGCCCTTTCTGTTTCTTGTTATAATTGTTCTTTTTCTGTGTGATGCAGCTAGTAACATTGGAGATTCATCCCTCACAACTCTTACTGCTGCAACTAACAAGGCAACCGATGACGATGGATCGGATCTTGATTTGAATCTAAAGCTTTAGTTTTTCTTTTTCAAATCTATTATGTGCTTGATGTGTTATGTATAAGAAAGTTAATCTCCACATTTTCTTGAATGAATTTCGGATTTCACATTATTATCTAAATCTTGTTTGTTTGTTGGATCTTATACTGTTTCGTTTTTGTTTCATAGATGTTTGCTCTAATTCAAAATTTCAAGTATGGTCTTGTTGAATTCATGTGAGACCATACAAAGTTTAAGAAGGTAGGTGCTGGCATGGAAGATATCCTTTGCTTTCTCTCTTTGACTGAAATCCGAAGATAATGCAGCTGCTCAGACTGAGATACCTATCGGACTCATAGACTAGTTTTAAACGAGATTGCTCCACATAAACGTGTGATAGTCTCTCACAATCCGCTAGGTGCAGGTCTCTATATGTACATCTCTCTATGTCAGTGGACAAATTTGATAAAGAATTCTTTTTTTTTCCCTTTTTTGTGGGTCAGAAGTGTCGGATCAAAGACAGGTTATCCACGTTGATATTAGGATAGTTATTCATGTCGATATTAGGGTATTTATGAGAGATTTATTTCTCATGGCATAAGATTTGAACACTTGTTAATAAAGTAGTAATGGTATTAGCTGAAAATTTTGATTGTTGATGAATTCGATATCTGTTGTAACCAATGGTAATTAATGGCAATGAAAAATATACTAAAATTGAATTTAAAATTTAAAATATCATAATACAAGATTTTTTTTTTATTTGCACTTTTACCCTCTAACACTAAAATTATTTCATGTTTATTTTTTAGATTTAATGCTACAATCTATACCTATATCTATATCTAACTAGAAAAACTTTTAATTTCTCTTTTTACCTTTCAACAATTCAATAAAGTCATTTTTGTTTAATGTGCCCCTTTTCTAACTGAAAATAGCATTATAGTTTTGCTGCCCATTTGTTTTCTTTATTTATTCTTACTGTATTTAATACATTAATCACTTAAAAGATGAAATCATGAAACTTATCCAAGGGGAAGAATTCGTCCTCATTAGATGTATTTATTTATATTATTCTTGGTTAGGGGCCGCGCGAACACAAGCCCCTTCTGTCACAAATGATGACGTAGGTTCTGTTCATTAGCAAGACCTTAGGCGAAAGCCTCTCCAAAGTGCAATGGAAGTCTTCAACCTAGGCTATGGGCCTTACTGATCACCCATTAACCCCGTCCAGGTAAGTATCCTCATTAGATGTATGCCGTTGATTTACACCTCTAAAATGTTATTCAATTATTTTTTTATCTTTTCAAGTGATTTTCTTGTGTTAGGGTTTGGTTTTAAGGAGGGTCTTTGCAGAATATTGTGTTGCCTACATTGGTCTAAGCTTGATTAATTTTATTGATAATTGAACGTAGAAATGGGAAAATATAAAGACAACAACACAAAAAATTGTCATATAAAACACAAATTTGTTGTTTTTGGACCATGTTGCTACTTTTTTGTCTAGGTGTTAGGACTGCAACTTGAGCGGGTTAACCCGATTTCAAACCAAGTTCAACTCAAAAAAATTAGGACTTGAGTTAATATTTTTATTACTTGGATTAGGTTTTAGTCAAAAAACTCAACCCGAATTCAATTTAGGCTGATCTTGGGTTGGGACATCGGGTTTGATCTAAATTAATAACTATATAAATATAATTTTAGATTTTTATCCCTAGATTAATCTGAAGTCTGCACCTCCGCCTCCCTCACTGAGTCCCACTCTCGGATCCCTCTCCCCTGCGCGTCCTCTCTCTCTCGGCCTCCTTCGTCTTCGTTATCTCAGAGTCTTGGCCCCCTCTCTTACTCTCAGATTTCATCTCGGAATAGATCTATCGTCTACCCCCTTCGTCTTTGTCACACCAGTGGCTGGTTCTTGTGGCAGTAAAGTGGCAGGTTCTTGTGAGCAGTAGAGTGGCTGGTTCTTGTGGGCAGTGGACAGTGGCTCTGCAGTGGTAGCAGTGGATAGTGGTTGTGCTGTGGCATCAGTGACAGCAGCGGACTGGTGGCAATGGCATTGAGTTTTGGTTGTACCTGTGGCTAGTTCAAGTTTACTATTATGTGTCTATGTTGAACATTGAGTTTTGGTTGTGGTCTTATAATCTCAAATATTAAATTTTTAATATTATGATTTTTATGTTAAAAATTTTGATTAAAGTTGTTGGTTGTTAATTTAGGTGAATATTATGTAATATATATATCAGGTTTAGAACAACAAGTTTATTTTGGACTCAACTCAAATTGAACCGATAAAGTAACTCAAAATTAGCCAAATATCAGAAACCTGAATTCAATTGGAGTCCGCTTGAATTAAACTTAGACAGTGCTCGGATTGAGTTTATCGGGTTAAACTCGGGTTAGAGTTAGAAATAAAATTAGGGTTAAAATTAAAAATTATATACTTAGAGTTGGGTTAGAATTAACTGTTCAACCCGCCCGAATTACACCCCAACTAAGTGTGTGGACAATCTAACAATTTTAATCTTCATTCAGATAAATTAAAAAATTAAAAATCTTTTAGATTATAACGTGTAATTCACCCGGTAGATATTTAGTTCAATATACATTGAACAACCACCCAAAAAAAAGGATAAATCTCATAAATATCCCTTTAAAGTCTGACTTTTATTCTAAAATATTCCTTTTAACGCATATTTAAGTCAATTTACTTATTAAACTATGTAATTAATTTATATTGACACCTTCTATTTTAAATTTATAGGTTGAATGACACGGATTTAAACATGGGAGATTCATATGAGATGTGTCATTCAACATCTAAAATTAATAAAATGTATTAATTGAAATTAATTACACATGAATGAGTTGGGACAAATAACAATTTAACAGATAATCTAAAGTTTAACGGAGGTCATCGATAGAGATAATAAATCAATATTAAACAAACTAATAAAAAATATATAAAAACATTTAATTTAAATGAGTCATGATCGAAATAAATGGTAAAATCAGACCTAGTCAATCCAAATGATTAGTAAGATATGATTTTATTTAGTTTGATTTAGATAATTTAAAATAAAAGTGGTAGTTTAAGAGACGGTTACGAAATTTACCGAAAAAAAAAGAAAAGAATATTATGTTATTCGTATCGTAGTGTGAGTTTGACTATATGTTCCCACTTGCTTTAAGCGTTTTCTCTCCAAATTCCCAAAGTCTAAAAGCAAAACATGAAGAAGAAGGAAAGTTTTCTTCCTTCATTCTCGTTAGATCGGGATTTTTGGGCATCTGAATTGGAGTATCGGGATTTTCTTTTCTCTGTTTTTAATTTTTGATGGGTTCAACAAAATTTCTTTCTGGGTCTGCTAAATTGTGTGATTTTGGATTGATTTAGGTGGATAAAGAGGATGGCGATGAACGCGGGGGATTGGAGGAGTCAGCTGCAACCAGATACTCGACAGAGGACTGTTAACAAATTGTAATTTTGCTTGCCTATTACTGAGTTTTATAATCACCACTCATTTCCCTTTTTCTCTTGGGGTAATTTGATAAGGTATCGAAAATTATTGCTTTTTAACGTCAAATTTATAATTTTACCTTTAAAAAATGTAATTTTGCGAATGAAAACTGTAATTATAAAATTTTAAGATCCACCGGTTTGATCAACAATACCTCTGCGGTTAAAAAATAAAAGTAGAGGAGCTGGACCCTGATTAACAATACCATTATATCTGATGTAAGTCTGGTATTTACCCATATCTAGCTAATCGTGGTTAATATTTTAGCTAGGATAGTGATATAGTTCTAAGTTTTTGTTGCATAATGGAAAATGATAACTGTGCCAGACTTAAAATGCAGAAATAAAAAGTATTGAAGTTAGTGATGGTATGGAATGCATAAGAAAATATGGTGCAATTTTCATATGCTATGCAGATAAACTTACGGGTACATCAATATTTGTGTTCTATTTTGTCGTTAGTTGTGTAAGAATGGAGGACCGTGAGGACAGAGAGACATGTTAATGGATGTTGCTTTAGGACTACAATTGGAGATTGATGCTACTTGTTCTACAAACAATAATGTTAAGTGTATTTTCTAAAACATGCGCTGAGTTATCTCGCCCGTACTGATTACTTATTTCCAATTCTGATCTGATTATGGAAATAACTGGTTTATCTCTCAATAGATGCACTGTGCAAAAATCAAAGCATCTAGACCAGATTCATGGTCATCAAATATATTCATGACAGAATTAATGAGTCCAGGATAAATCTCTGGCAAGAATTCCTTACCCGGAAAAAAAAGAAGAAAAAGAAAACACACTCGAGCAAACAATTGAATGCAATATTGTGATTCCTTGGGAATTTTGGGATTGTTCCTTAACGTAATGGGTGGATCTCATATTACCACTTAGAATGGAATATTGTGATTCCTCTCTGTTGTATTGCATTGTCTCTTGTTGTTGGTTTATACAAATATGTTAGGTTGGGAATTTTGGGATTGTTCCTTAACGTAATGGGTGGTTCTCATATTACCACTTAGAATGCAATATTGTGATTCCTCTCTGTTGTATTGCATTGTCTCTTGTTGTTAGTTTATACAAATATTTTAGGTTGGGAATTTTGGGATTGTTCCTTAACATAATGGGTGGATCTCATATTACCAATTACCTCTTGCTTAGAAATATGTCATGTTTATGGAGGATACTAAACATCTACGGATTTCTAATTTTAGTCCTGTCTTGGTTTGCTTGTTGGGTTAATTCAAGGTTTTACATTTGGGAAGAAATGCCTTTTGCTCACATGAAGTGAGTGGTGGATAGAGAGTTACCGATTGGTTTGCATAGTGCATGAGTGTTTGATCAGTATATTTGATGAGATCACAAGGTTAGAACTGATACAAACACAGGGTGTTTGGTGTATCTGACAAGCTAAAATTATAGTTCAGGGAAAAAATAATGAAGAGGAGAGACATGGTCAACATGTGTGTTGATAAGGTGAGTCTAATGCTCTAGTGATTGAGGAAAGGAAATTAGAATGACATCGTGAGTTATTTTGAAGAAAGTGTTGGAAAAGGTGTCGATAAAAAATTGTTGCTCAAGAGTTTGGATTTTCACTTGTCCAGTGATACCTTTCAAATGTTTCCACATACCACCTACATAGGAGGAAGTGTTAGCAGCAATAAAAGACTTAGTGGAGATAGAGTTTCTTTATTCTACGATAGGTTGGATACCTTAGGATTTTTCTCTAATTCGGATGGAAGGGGTTAAAGAAACTTGCTCAAAGTTGTCATATTGAGAAATGCTTGAGTTCTGATTCTGATTATTGTTTGTTGATTTCTGTGGAAAAGAGGGGCTATTTACACTAGTGGATGTAGGCCAATAAGCCTTCTTTGACCACTTATAAGGGTACTTCTGAAGTTTTGGCCAATGGATTAAATTGGTTATTCAATGGTGGTCTCAAGACACCAGACTGCTTTTTTATAGGGTAAGAAAAATATTGGATATTGTTCTCATTGCGAAAAATGGTGTGGATTCTATATTGTGCAGTGGATATCTGGAGGGGATTTGGAATCTTGATATGGACATTCCGTTTGACCTTGGAGGTTGTGGTTTTTCTTTTGTACTTGCACTATGTCTACGTCTGTTGTAGTTTTATTCAACGACACTTCTTACGAGCTTCTCTTTTCTTACTTTCTTAGGGGCCAACTCATATTTACTGCATTTGTTTTTGGTTTTATTTATTCTTTATTGTGTATGCTGTGACCATGATTTTGAAGTAATTTGTTTGGTATGTTGTTATTTAACGCGCTTACATGCTTTCCGTAAATATCTTCTTCACGCCTGCATAGTCAATTGAAATGTATTATTTAACATCTAGAATGGAGACCCTGAAGAGGCATCTTCCCTTCCCTGAGCAAGAGGGACTACAAGAACTTAAGAAAATTGCAGTAAGGTTTGAGGAAAAGATTATACTACTGCCACAAGCCAGGTTTGCATTTACACTGGTACTTGATCATTGATGGTATTTGCCTTTAATTTCAGTATTGAAACATGGTTGGCTTCCTTATTCGTGAATTTGTCGTGAGATATAAATGGCATATAATTTTTACTGTAGTCAGATTATCTGAGAACAATATCTCTTAAGATGCTGACAATGGAGACAAAATCCCATAACCGCATGGGCAATTCCCTGCAGTCCAACTATGCCAGTAATTGTGAAATTACCCCTGTTCCAGGTAACGGAATAAAAGTGCTATGTGCTTCATGTAATAGCAATGTTTACATAGTGCTGACTGATTCCATTTTCCATCTCTGTATCTAATCCTAATATGCATTCCCCTGTACTTAAAATAGTTTATTTCAGCAAGTTAGACATTGCGCATGTCTCAATGTCATATTCACTAGTTTTTGTGAACGTTAATTAACTATTACTGTATTGCTTCTCTTTCTCTTATATTCAAGTGACAGAGCAAATGTGATAGCTTTAATTTTGCTAGCTATATCGTGTTTTAGCACTTGGCGAAGACAGACTTATATAGCCGACCGCAAATGATTAGGACATAAGGCTTGGTTTGGTTTGGTTTGGTTTGGTTTATTGTGTTTTAGCAGTGATCGGTGAACTTTCAAAACAAAAAGTGCAAAAAATAAAAAAAGAAGGTGGATATGGCCTATATCTTTCTAGTGAGTAATGCTAGAAAGTAATCTGCCTTTCGCTACTTAGTGAACACCTAATTTGCATCCAACTGTTTTTCTCCATCAGTTCATTTGGCTAATTCCCAATTATTCTTTTCTGAAGAGATTTTCTTCAATCATTGCTTCCTTCCATTTTGAACTACTAGTAGCATCATGCTAACTTCGAGGATCGAGAAACACAATGCCCAACAAGATGGTTTGAGATTATGAGAAAACACAAAATTAGAGAGTGGTGGAATGGCGATGAGTGCCTTGATAGATTTCAAAAATATTTCTGGAACAAAATAGGAGCGAAGACAAATTTGTTGGCGAAACACTACTAAACATGGGTTGAACCACTCCTAACACCTCGAAACTCTTCAAAACATAGGAGCTTTGATATTTATGTACTGTTTTGTTTCGTTGCGGCTGTTTCAAAACAAAATTTTAATCCTTATTTAAAACTCGAATGAAGGGACTCTTGTGAACTTCCTAGTTCTGGCATTTATAGGCGCAAACTGCCTAAGATGGTGTATGGCTCTTTGCTTGTTTTATATATATTTCTTCCCCTTGCCTGCCCCTTCTGTTTTTTGTTCAAATTGTTCTGTGTGATGCAGATAGTAACATTGGAGATTCATCCCTCACAACTCTTACTGCTGCAACTAACAAGGCAACCGATGACGATGGATTGGGTCTTGATTTGAATCTAAAGCTTTAGTTTTTCTTTTTCAAATCTATTATGTGCTTGATGTGCTATGTATAAGAAAGTTATTCTCCACATTTTCTTGAATGAATTTCGGATTTCACATTATTATCTAAATCTTGTTTGTTTGTTGGATTTTGTGGGTCAGAAGTGTCCGGTCAATAGCAGGTTATTCACGTCAGTATTAGGATATTCATGAGAAATTTATTTCTCATGGCATAAGATTTGAACACTAGTTGATAAATTAGTGATAGTATTAGCTGAAAATCATGACTGTTGATGAATTCGATGTAATTAATATGATGATGTAATTAATTTGATGTCTGTCGTAACCAATGGTAATTAATGGCAATAAAAAATATACTAAATTTTAATTTAAAATTTAAATTATCTTCATACATGAAATTTTTTTTTTTTTGCATTTTTACCCTTCAACACTAAAATTATGTCATGTTTATCCTCTCAATTTAATGCCACAATCTATACCTATATTTATATCTAATTAGAAAAATTTTTAATTTCTCTTTTTGTCTTTCAACAATTCAATAAAGTCATTCTTGTTTAATGTGTCCCTTTTCTAACTGATAATAGCATTGAAGACTCAAGTTTTTTTGCTCTTTTTTTTCTTTCTTTATTCTTTCTGTCATTAATACATCAATCATTTAAAAGATGAAATCATGAAACTATTCCAAGGGGAGAACCTGTCCTTTCCTTTTCCCTTCAGTTTGTCATCCTCCACACTCTTCTTTGCCCTTCGGTTTCACCATTAAGACATTAATCAATTTACCCAAATGCCACATGAATGCTCTGTTCTATTTTGTAAGAATTACAGCAACTATAAAAAAAACACCAAACATATTGGACTTTTCAGGTGTAGCTGCTTCATGGGAGGGAAAAGGTTTATTCAAATAAGATAATTGACTGTTGTTGCCTATTAGTCAAATGGTTGTAATTGGGTCGTGTTTATCAATCTGCAACAAATGAGATTGAACCAAAAATAAACAAACATTAGACTCATCTAGCTTACAATGCTTCAAGTTGGCTTGTCTCATTAGATGTATGCTGTTGATTTACATCTCTAAAATATTATTCAATTATTTTTTATCTTTTCTAAGTGGTTTTCTTGTATTGGGTTTGATTCTAACGAGAGTCTTTTCAAAATATTGTGTTGCCTACATTGGTCTGAGCCTATTTGATTTTATTGATAATATAACTTCGGGCAGATAAAACATCAAAAGAGTGTTACACTTTGTATTTAGGCAAAGCCTGTGGATGTATCTCGCCATTGATCAGTAGCCTTGGTTCAGAGGTGCATAAGGGCTGATTCTCCATTTGCTTTGATCATTTGAGGATGTCTATGACATTGAAGAGTGATATCCTCTTGTTATATGCAACTTTATAACTTTAAAACTATTTGTTTAATGCTTCACATGCTTTTTGTTCATGGGAAAAATTGCTTGATGTAATGTCAAAGGAAACTGTGGACATTCTACCAGAAAAAAACAGGTCGATCCTTACTTTATTAGTAACTCAGATTAGTCTATACAATATGAAATCTCACTCCGATTGGACCATTTTTGTCACAATCTATTTTTTTTTTTTAACCAAGTAAAGAACTTAAAATTTTCCCACATTCCTTTTGATTGCCGCAGTGAAATACCATATCAATAATGGTAATCATGTGCCCACACACCCTATAATAGTGGAAAGACACCATAATTGTTATCAATATTGGAGTTAATACTTCCAAATACTTAATAGCAACAATGGTTAGTGTGCCAAAACTTTACAGCTCAATAAGTCTATAGTACTAAACTGGTTGGTGAGATTAGGGAAATTCACCCTACTCCATAGGTAAGAAATATAGTCTTTCGTCTTTCTACCCAATACTTTGTGAAAGAATTTTTTCTTGATCTACCCTACCCGATCAAGTGTGGTATTCCTACCTGACTTTCGGCCAAATTATTCGGATAGAAAATCGGGTGAACACTTTTGTAGTTATTAATTTTTGGATCATTTTAATAATTCAAGTAAATAACATGCATCAATTTAACAAAATAATAAACCAATAACACTAAAACCTAAAACAATTACAACAACAATTACCATAAAATACAAGAAAACATAAACATCAATCCATTAATTATTTTAAGTTTAAAGCATATAGTTAGGGAATTAGAGTTTTCAGTTTATATATATAAATTAATGTGGGTAGGTAGGGTAGAAATACGGAAATTAATGACTATTCCGCATTCCCACTCGATTTAATCAGAAAACCAAAAACTCTTCCGCATTCCTACCCGATTTTTTCGTCTAGCCATTCAATAGGGTCGGGTAGGTTAGGAAATTGTAGTTAATCAAAAATTTGAACACCCCTAGGTGAGATTTTCTTCTAAGACTTTGGAGGAATTAATGAACATATATATTAGGGAACAATTTAAAGGAAACAAAAGGGCTCTCTATCAACCATTCAAGATGGAGCTCTGATCCAAGTTTGACTAAAAGAATCTTGTAGTAATAATCAACTCGATTTTGGTTATTTGAGCTGTTGTTGATAAGATGATTGAAATGATTGTGATTCCTTAGAATTGAACTTGCTACCATATTTACTTCATGTTTGTAGAGCACTAAAACAAGAATGCATGACATAAAGTTTGTACTAATGCAAAGTCATATATGCATATATGGATGAATATTAAATTTCAAAAGAGTTGAAAATTAATATGTGGGGCGGTCTTGCAAATCACCACAAATCTTTGTAATGTATAAGTTGGCTTGAAATGATGTCATCACTAAGTTAGTAAGCCACCATGTTACTTGGAGGCTATAATAGAAAGCTAATAGAAATATAATAAAATGTCATTTAGTATTCAATAAGAGTTTGGACTGTTCATGTGAGAAATTGGATTCTTAAAATAGAAATGCGGTTTGGTGAATGAATCAAGTATTTTTTGGGATGAATAGTAAAGTTGTACATGAAACGGCTAAAATATCACTGTGAGATAATATTTTTCTATCGCTTTCTTTTCTGTTTTAGTTTTTGTTTTTCCTAAAGATTATACCAAGAAACACATACTAAACACCTCAAATTTTGAATAATAAATCTAAAAATAGAAATAAAGAATTAAAATTAAAATCACAACTCGAAATGAACTTTGCACGTGTTTACTAACTAATATATTAAAAGAACTAGTTAAAACATGTATATCTTACTGAACAACCCAAATTAGCAATTAGGCTTGGGAAACTTGTTAGGCTATATAAGTTGGTGTGTGTCGTGTCATAACGAGTTTGTATTAAAAATCACTCAATTCATATAAGATTTTTATTATACAGGATTAAATTGCAAAATTGAGCAAGACTTGTTTATTTAAACTTGTTATACAACAGTCTTTTCATCCGTTATATGTGTGTGTGTGTGTGTGTGCGCATTTGTACGTGTGTGAGAAACAAAGAAAAGGACTAGAAATGCCTAGAACCAAAATCCTAAGAGCAATGTTATTAAGATTTAATTTATCAACCTAATTTATTGATTAAATTTACTATGACCTTTAGATTGACTATAGGCTCTATCAAACATTAGAACTTGGTGTTGATCCAATGATTTCATTGAAACCAATCATTTTGTCAGCAAATTAGATCAAATTTTTAGGTCTAAATAAGATTATTCAAATCGTAAATACAAAAAATCAATCAACTACCAAAACCCTAGTTGCTCAAAACAACAGAGGAGAGACTCCAGAGAAAATGAGATGCTGAGAGATATTGTTCAATTTTGCTAGGCCTATTAGCAATCTTTAAGCGTACGGAATGTGTACTTAAGCGTAAGGACAACATTACGGTATCAAGATGCCAAATATCAATATCGTTAAATCATAAGGAGTAGCTCAGCGGAGACATAGATGAATTGTAAATTCAGATATCTTCAGCTCGAAATTTGGCAATTATCTTGGAACCAGATCATAAGTGATTAATCCATCATGAACTTCTTAATCCCAAGATAGATGACCTGCCTTTGATCTGATCGAGAAAGAAATTAGTTAAAATACACGTAAGTTAACTTAGACATCTTTATCGTAATACCCAAAAAAAAACAATATTATTCCAAAAAGTTAGGGGCGTCATAAATAGACACGTGTTTTGTTAACAATAATTATGACTAAGCCGAAATGTCACAATTTTGAGTCAAATTACAATCATTTGAGGTCAAGATACCACCATGTATGGTGAATTTATCTCCATTTGAGGTCGGGTTACCACTATTGAATGTGAAGTTTAGCATCATCCGAGGTGAATTTACCATCAGTTGAGCTGAAGTTACCACAATTTGAGGTGACATTAATACGTGAAAAATTATAAGGAATGTCTCTGTAATTAGACCATTTTGCAAATGGTGTTATTGAAATTTACGCTTTGATTTTAAAGGTCGTGCATCCATTAAACTCCGTCCAAGTAAGTAATTGGCAAAATTGGACCATGTGCCTTTCATGAGGATATTGGAGGTTTTTTTAAAAAAACAAATACAAGTGATAGATTTTATTCAGGGAAAATTGCATTTTATGCCCTAAAAGATTTAAAAAATTTTACTTGATACTCTTAAAGATAAAATTTCTCATATTGTACTTTTAATGTATCAAAAGTATTGTAATGTAACTTTCTTGTTAAATTCTATTATTTTTTTTGGTCAAAAATAACCCCATTGACAATGGCAAAAAATAATGAAATCTAATAAAAGGGTTTTACATTATAACATTTTTAATATATTGACAGTGCAATGTAAAAATTTAAATTTTAAAAGTGTAAAAGTAAAAATTCCTAAATCTTTTAGGGTATAAAATGCAATTCTCCCTTTTATTCATATTGAAATATCAGGAAAAAAAAGAGCCGCACAACAAACTCAGATAAACACTCTTGCCAAATAAATGTATTAGCAATAAAACTAGCATGTTGTGCTAAACTTTGAGCTACTTAGTTGCCTAATTTGTGCACAAACGCCACTTGCTAAACCCAAAGTTGAAGGCCCTTCCCCAGACCCCCTTGTTAGCTTTAGTGTTATATATATATATATATATATATATATATATATAACACTAAAGCTAACAAGGGGGTCTGGGGAAGGGCCTTCAACTTTGGGTTTAGCAAGTGGCGTTTGTGCACAAATTAGGCAACTAAGTAGCTCAAA